CTAGTAAAGAATGACCAGAACAACGACTTCACTTTAACTTCTGACCTTCTAGTAAAGAATGACCAGAACAACAGCTTTACTTTAACTTCTGACATTCTAGTAAAGAATGACCAGAACTAAAAACTCACTTTAACTTCTGACCTTCTAGTAAAGAATGACCAGAACTAAAAACTCACTTCTTGCTTAGTAGCAACTTGTATTCCTGTATGGTTCTATCGCTTTATGTGACGTTTTATAAATTACATGTTGCCAAGGCTAGTGGAAAAGGGAGAGGCGGGGGCGGATTGAATCCAAACAGGAATATCCATGCCTTAAATAAGCGAACGTAAGAAGGTCGTGATGAAAACGCAGTAAACGACAATTTTTGGTATATCCACTTTTATGACAGTGTTTTCTGTTCAATTAATCAACACTCCGTTTAACTCGTGGAGTTAGGGTACTTACTTTCTGTCAACACGCCAAATCACTTGTCTTCACCTCGAGCAAACGTCTAATTAATGAGAAGCACGTGGCTGCTTGGAAAGTAGAACAGGTGGCGCTCTGTCTTTGTAATCACTATCTCAAGACAGAATAGTTTACAGTGTTGAATTATTTAAAACGAATACACCGAAATAGATATGAAGTTGAGTTTAATTGGACTGATGTCGTTTATTGACGACTGGTGTTTTTTTACTGTAACCGTATTTAAATGTTAACGTTACGTGTGTGACATTATATCGATCGATCTGATGTTAATAAGTAAATAAATAATACGCTAGATGTAAAGAAGGAAGATTGAAGATGTAAAAAATATTTTGTGAGGTCTGTGAAAAGTATAAAAGATATTTAAATGAAGCTCATTAGACGTTCTTACAATCTTCTCAAACATTTTTAGTGGTCGCCATCTAGCGGATCATCTGATTAGATAAAATGACAATAATATTTGTAAACAGTTGTTCAGAAGGTTCTAGAATCATTGCCTGTTCTAGTTCTGATTCTTAGAACTTTGGGCCAGAAATGGACGAACAGTAACTTTCATACACAGATTCTAACAACAGTTTGATCACGTAGCTTATATATCGTGGCGTGTTTGATCGTGTGACACATGATGAAATGGGTACGTTAGTTTGATCGTGTGACACATGATGAAATGGGTACGTTAGTTTGATCGTGTGACACATGATGAAATGGGTAC